GCACCTTCGTCACTGGGATTTTGAGAGGCCTACTTGCCAGCCTCTTGCCCTGTGATTATGGCCCTGTGGGGAACTTTGGGGCTAAAAACCCTGTTCGTGACTTTTTCCCTTCTATGGTGCAGTACCGAATGGATTAGGCTTATGGTGTTCGTTTACCGAACAAACTGTCGAATAGCCGGACCACCTGGCAAGTGGCGTGTGCAGCCACTGTTAACCTACCAGAAGCTGTGGTTAACCACAGCTTAATTGACGAACGGCTGGGTGGTCGTCGTTCGTATAGTCGAACACGTGGCGGCGGCCATCTTGTTTAATCGAATGCGGTCAGCGGTGATTTGCCGTCGTGTTCATGGAACTGAAATCGGACACTCAACGGCATGAACACCACTGGAACTTCCACCTCCATGTTTGGCTAAATGGCACGAACAGAGCGCCGGTCAGTAGAAATAATCTACCAAACACACTTCAACACTGACTTTGTGCACGAACGGTCCCATTCAACTATTTGAAGTGGACTTTAATCATTGGAAATAGACTGGCCGCACAGCCTAATTCTCTATTTTTGGCATACGTTGTATTTTGGGGTACCTTTGTAAAGTATGTGTTTTTTATGCTTGGGGATAATTACGTTAATACATTATCCACCTTAATTGTATCAAAGGCAGAGGGGAGGGATTGTGTGCTGTATGTGGGAGTGTCAGGCATTGTTACATTGATTCTATTGGTCTATACAATTTGTGTCCTGTGCCCCATCAGGTTCAGTGGGTGTTCCTCTGGCCTGAAAAGTTGTATAAAAATCCAACCTGTACCATTAAACTCTCAGATCATCTTGCACCTTCATGAAGTCTTGGCTCATGTTTGGGGTATTGGAGAACTACACTCTGGGGATTGCTATAATCACTATACTCCCTTGAGTATAATCACTAAGCTCTTGTAAGAGCTGTTCCTGCTACGCTCTCGGGACTAAGAGAGGCCTACCCACTGGAGGCTGGAGCCTGGTCTTGGGTCCAGGGTGGGTGGAGGACGGCGAGACCCCAACCAAGCTGCGGCAGGTTGTGGGGTTTACAGTGGTTATGGTGCTCCAGTACAGTGCTTATGGTACTCGCAAGTACTAGGAAGCAGCGATTGATGGGGGTACCGGGTCGGGGTGCCAGGCGGTCCATCACACCAAAGAAATATGAAAAAAAGTTTCTGTACCCAGTAAAATATCTGGTGAGTAAAATATCTACTGATAAAATGGGATAATCAACACAACTAAAACTACTACTTTAATCTCCATAAAATCTGTTTAGACTCCCAGGACAAAAGATTATAGATTTTTTTCACTTATTGTTCCTAACCCTTTTTACCCTCCATTGATTGAGTTATGGGCAGTTTGTCTCAATGCACTCTGATTTGTCATTTCCGATTACAGTGAGATAGATAATAATTCCTCAAACATAATCACATTGTGCACTGTTAAATAATATGGTGTGGCACTCTGGGAAAATTTGAGATCCAATGCCTGGCCTGGAACACCATGGTTGAGGACTACAACCTCTGACTTGTAGCAATAGTAGAGAATCCACTTGTTTAACACGGTAGGTGCTAATTCTTTCCACTTTTTATCCAGATTAATTAATTTTAATTTACAGAAAATTAATTCCGTGAAGCATGTTTTTGCTTTGTTTTGTTTGTTTGGGGGTTTTTTATGATGGAAGCTTGAAATACAGCCTTCTAAAAAAATATATTTTCTAGCATTAAGTTTTCAATTTAGCCTTGTGGTTAATGATGTCACTTAAATCTATAAATTGCATCATAATTTTGCTATTTGCAGCTGGCTACTTTTCGTATATCTAATTTAAGTGTCTGGTTTTATTCAACATGTTTACATGTAGACAAGGCCAGTTGCCGTAGGCAAAAAAATCTATCTTCTGAGGTCTGGCTAGTGTCTTTAATCCCTAATATGCATTTCATCATGTAGAATTTGCACACAATTGAATTCTAGGAATACAACACAAAATTTCAAAGTGGTGTATGACATTACAATTTATAATGGCCTCAAAATGGCTAACTATAGAACTTTCTTTGGACACCACTGTGCTTTTAAATGAAACAAAGCATACTGTCAGTTTAACCTCCCTTTTAACTGCTCGTGCCAAATTGCTGGTTCGTACTTAATAGGAAGATCAGTGGCATTTATGCTTGACCGCACCTCACATGATTATTTACCAACTATATAGGAGCATTCTATACACCATAATCACTACAGAATGCTGCAGATGTTATAATGCCAGCCAGGAGTCCCCTGGTGCTGTCTTATGGGAAGAAGTGAAATTGGATTTCCCATTCCTCTCTTCACAGATATTACTAAAGTGTAATTTATGCACACTGCAATGGTTATGGTTTTTAGAGTGCCCCTTTATAGTTAGCAAGCATTTTGATAGTTGTTAAAACTAAACCTTGAATGTGATGTTTTGCTAGCCTTAAAGGACTACTATAGTGCCAGGAAAACATACTTGTTTTCCTGGCACTATAGTGCCCTGAGGCTGGCCCCACCATCAGGGTCCCACTCCCGTGGCGCTGAGGGGGGAGGAAGGGGTTAAACTTACCTCTTTCTCCAGCGCCAGGCGGGGAGCTCTCCGCCTCCTCTCCTCCTCTTCGGCTCAATGCGCATGCGCGGCAGGAGCCGCGCGCGCATTCAGCCAATCCATAGGAAAGCATTCAAAAATGCTTTCCTATGGACGCTGGCATCTTTTCACTGTGAAAATCACAGTGAGAAACGCGGAAGCCCTCTAGCAGCTGTCAATGAGACAGCCACTAGAGGCTGGATTAACTCATTTATAAACATAGCAGTTTCTCTGAAACTGCTATGTTTATAGAAAAAAGGGTTAAACCTAGCTGGACCTGGCACCCAGACCACTTCATTAAGCTGAAGTGGTCTGGGTGCCTATAGTGGTCCTTTAGGGCTGACAAAGCATCAGGAGAGTTGTATTTCTATTAAATTAGGGGGCTAGGTTTTGGCCACCCTTGTTCTGTTCGTTAAACATCTATACTGTAGGATATGCTTACTGCACACTGACCAGTCTGATCTAACACATCCTGGTCTTGATTTAAAAATATTGTACAAACCGGGAGACTGCATATCAAAGGATCTTAGTATCTGTCTGGATCTTATCATTAAACAGCATGTTTCCTTGAAAAGTGACTGCATAATTAAGCCAGAAGTAGGAGCAATTTCTTCCTATGTCTGAATTTATAATTTTACCTAGCAATTTTAGCCTAAATGTTGTGTTGTTTGTTGATAAATACCCCTCACCAAAACAGAATCTAAAAGTGGCAACCAGTGACAGGAAGAAAGGGACTAGCATGAAGCATAATGAAATCATTACAATGAAATGGAAAAACAGGGACCCTACCGCAAGGTTTCTAAGCCCTTAATTTTCCCAAACCATGATCCGCCATTATGTTGGCTTAGTAGAGACACTGCTACAGCTAAAGAACATTCCAGAAAGAGAACACATGTGAAGTTTAGTGTAAGCAAAGGCAATAAGGTAGTGCAACGGCTTTAAGTGCAGGAAACTAACATACCACCCTCATTAACTTTACAGTCTTTTTTTAACAAAATCATTACCAGCAACAGGTCTTTTGCATAATGGACAGGCCAACATACTCCCAATATACAATTACCACCTTATTCTGCAGTGAAAAAAATGATAAGGCATGGCAAAAAGTTCATGGAATACAAAAATAGAACAGTGTGGACCTTCACCTCAGAAAGGTGAGCAACCCTCACATCACATTAACTCCACTGGAAATTAAGTAAAACGAGGCATAGGATGTTTAGGCCACTTTACTGTCAATAAAATAACAATAACAATAAGATCTTATGGCTCTCCTCAGTAAAAACTGTCTTTCTCTTCAGGACCTTTACAACGGAGCAAATGTAATCTTATTTTCCATTAATGGATCACTATAGGGTCAGGAACACAAACATGTATTCCTGACCCTATAGTGTTAAAACCACCATCTAGCCCCCCTGGGCCCCTCATGCCTCCATCAATATAGCAAACTCTTACTGTATTCAAGCCTGAAGCTCTGCATGCTGCTAGACTCAGAAAAACAAACAGTCTGCTGACATCATCAGAAGTGGTAGCCTGATCCAATCACAATGCTTCCCCATAGGATTGACTGAGACTGACAAAGAGGCAGATCAGGGGCAGAGCCAGCATGATTGTAACACAGCCCTGGCCCATCAGCATCTCCTCATAGAGATGAATTGAATCAATGAATCTCTATGAGGAAAGTTCAGTGTCTGCATGCAGATGGAGGCGATACTGAATGTTTGGATGCATTTTAGGCAGCCATGACCCAAGAAGGGTCTCTAACAGCCATCTGAGGAGTGACCAGTGAAGTTATCACTAGGCTGTAATGTAAACACTGCTTTTTATCTGAAAAGACAGTGTTTATAGCAAAGAGCCTGAAGGTAATGATTCTACTCACCAGAACAAATTCAATAAGCTGTAGTTGTTCTGGTGACTATAGTGTTCCTTTAAGTTTAATTGAAGACAATACAATACATGCAAATTCACTTTGCCCTATTATATTTTCAAAATAAAATAATTTCAATATATCTTACAGGACAGTGAGAAGATAATTAGAATGACATTAGAGCACAGTTTAAATTCCAACTGTGGTGATAAAAAAAAAAACAAATCACCATTGTTGGTCAACCTTACACATAAAACATACTCTTTGCAGTCCAGTGTATAGCTCTCCCATTGCTAGATATCAGGGAAACTAGAGCCAAAATACAATGGTCAACCTAAATGAAAAATAAAAATGGAACAAGGTAATCCTAGAGGATATTATTGTAGAACTTATTTTTGAGCACATATGCATGTAATGGCATGTAGGTTATACCACTATATGCCATTAATTTTGAGCATAACGGTGTGGAAAAAAGAGTTCCACAAAAATATTCCATATGAGTACCTTACACCATTTTTAACTTCTTTGTTTAGCACAACCATATACTTGTATTTTGGCTTTTTCCGTCAATGATATATTGGAGCCCATGTTATTGCTGCTGAGTTTAGCACCTTTACTTTTTCTGTTGTTGGGAAAGTATGAGAGGGACCAAATTCACATAATTGGAGGTGAAGCAAACCCCGACCTACACGAGCCAGAACAAGGCAAAGCTCATGGCAGCGTCCAGGCTACCCCAGATCGGAGAACACAACCTCTCAACGCTGGATACACCCATCTCGAAGTAGGAACTGGCGCTCGCTATCAAAAAAGATCCCCGGATCCAGACAGCCTGCCTCTCCTATACTACAAGACCTTCCTGACCAAACAGGATTCATCCCAGGCCTAGAGGTACGAGACAACACCATTCGGGCAATGAACCTGATTGCGTGGCCTATTCCTCTCAACGGACACCGAGAAGGCTTTCGACTGGGTGGATTGGGGATTGATGTTCGAAACGCTTGGGGTATGGGCATCGGACCCAAGTACATCACATGGGTGGATCCACTATATACCCTCCCAACAGCGCAACTGAGGATCAATGGAGCTCTCTCTGACCTATTCCAAATACACAATGGGACGTGCCAAGGATGCCCGCTATCCCCCCTACTCTTCGCACTAACACTGGAACCCTTCCTAAACAACATCAGACACAATGAGAACATACACGGACTGTTACTGGGTCGGACACACCACAAAGTCCTCGCATATGCAGATGACCTCCTGTTCATAGTGAGAGACCCAACCACATCCCTACAGGCGATCACAACAGAATTTGAAACCTACAGCCACTTCTCCAATTTACAAATCAATTACTCCAAATTGGAAATCTTGGGCCTCAACATTAACCACACCCAGCAGCAGACACTTCAGCACTGCTTCCCCATCCGCTGGTGCAATACCCGGATGCGCTACCTTGGGGTATGGCTCACGCCAGACCCAGCGGACCTCTACGCCCACAACTTCACGCCCATCCTCAAAACGGCAGTGGAAGAACTGCACACCTGGAACTGGTATTACATATCCTGGTTAGGGCGAATAAATGCAGTCAAGATGACTTTACTCCCGAAACTCCTTTTCATCTTCCAAACGGTACCAGTCGCGACGCAACAGAGCTTCTTCACCACGCTACAGGTAGAAGTTCGTAAATTCATCTGGAAAGGAAAATCCCCTCGTATAGCTCACTCCCAGTTGATGCTACCCAAACTCAGTGGCGGCCAGCCCTACCAGACTTCAGAGAGTACTACCTAGCAGCCCACTTCGCGAGAATCATCAGTTGGTCCACGACACCACGCAACAAACACTGGGTACAGCTGAAGGCAGATAGCTCCACCTGCAACCTCCGCACCTTTCCCTGGATCCCAAAAGATAGCGAGCAAACAAATCCACCTACCAAACGCATTTGTGAAAGCCACACTCCGGATATGGCACCATTACGGCACTAAACACTACCTTACGACGGACCCTAGCCCCATGCTCCCTCTGAGAGGTAACCCGCACTTCCCAGCAGGAAATCAGGGACCTCTCCCAAGCTTGACGACCCGCAACACCATACTCCACAAAGCAGATGTGCTACTAAAACCATTCGCAGTCCGCCCGATAAATGCCTTCTTCCCAGAACAGCGGCACACATTCTTGCACACTATGGCGAGAGAACAACTGTCAGACTACGTGAACTTAATCCCTCAAAAACCCTACATACTTCGGGACCGAACGAACTTTAAAACACAAATCTCCAAGGTCTATGCCTCACTAGTGATCGGTAGATACCTGCTAGCCCCACCGTGCATCCGACAATGTGATGAAGACATCGACAACATGCTCTCAGAGACAGACTGGTCCAAAATCATTACGCAGGGTCAGCGAGACTGCAGGAAAATGCATACAAAGTCTTCACCCGATGGTATATCACCCCCGTCGTCCTCCACGCTCGGGACTACACAGCACTAGACACATGCTGGTGATGCGGAGACAAGAGAGGAACCTTTACCCATGTATGATGGGACTGTGCTCTCATCAGACCTTTCTGGGACACGATAGGCCGAGTGATCCGGGAGGTGACAGACGAGATCCTACCGCAGTCACCAGCCCCCTATCTCCTCCACCACATCACTATGCCGACACCAGCCTACAAAAGATCAGTGATCCCACGACTCCTCAACACAGCGAAAGCTATCATCCCTATTTACTGGAGGCAATCACGCATCTGACCACTTAAGAGATCGGTTCGAAGACCTAAAAGCAACTTCTGAGAAAGACAAAGAAAAATACACGAAGAGATGGTTCCATTGGCTAAGACATATCTCCTCGGACGAGTTCACTTGAATCCAGGCTACTGCCTAAGTGGCTGGAGAGTGGACGAGGGAGCCCTGACGCGATACCAAGGGGGGGTCCCATGGGGCACGGCAAGCTTGGATGGTGACTGGGTGTGCTCCTCCTTCCACCCACTCCCCTCCTCATGCCCCTCCCCCCCCGACTGCCGACCCAGATCGGCACACAACAACGAAGATGGGACCGGCCCGCCACACTCTGCAGAGACGGTCACACTCCTCCCTCCCCACACCTTCCCACAAGCGGACGACGAGTATGGGCCTCGTCTACCTACCCCATACCCGCTCCACGCCCCCGTCACCCCAACATCACCACACACCGTCACTAGCACGTCACCATCACAAGCAACCAATACTCTCACCACGAACCAAAACACTGACCCCCCAAACAAAAAACAGGCTAGTCACACAAAGGGTCGAAGTGAACATACCTACTACCCACAAGTGCACACCATACAGCCTACCAAAACCAGACCCCGTCTTACTTACACCGCAAGAAGTTTCTCCCATGTTTCTCCCTCACCAGCGCACTAGCCTCTACATAGGCAAATGCTAAATAAACGCTGATACCATACAATGAAACATATAAAACAGGGGGCCCAATGCTCCACCATGCACCCAGAAGCAGCCCTGGAGAGCAGCCTTCCCATTGCTGAACATGCTCCTCTCTGACACACTAAACAATAGAAAGCTCCCATGTTCAGTCTCAGACTCCGCTCCCACCTCACATACTATTAGTTCCTGATCCCCGAACCTAAAACCTAAGTAGAATCCTAACATAAGCTTCACTGTTACCACATGTTTACCGGACACCCCGATGCCACAAATTGACCATCACCGCCCATGTAAGCACGGTATTCTAATATATAACAATTATCAACTTCATTCCGTAAGTGTCTATGTAAGCTACCATTTGCCTTTTCTGACACGTTGATATATGGCACGAATGTGCAACCACGATAAGCTTCAATTCATCTCATACCGTTACAAATGTAAGAACTGTTCTGCAATCTAATGTGTTTATCGAATTTGACCAATGAGCCTCTGCGTAGGCAACCAGGTGCCTCAAGATACATCTTGCTCTATGTTTGCATTTGCTATACTCAGTGGTGTATCCTGGTTTTGTGCTGCCCTAGGCAGGACAAAACTCAGGCGCCCCCCGCCCAACCCTTCCCCCCGCCCCGCCTTCTAAATACACACACACACACACACATTCACTGACAGATACGCATACACTCGCTAACAGAAACACAAACACACACACACTAACAGACACACTCACACTCACTAACAGACACACACTCACTGACACACACACTCACAGACAGTCAGACACACACACACTAACAGACAAACACAGTCAGACACACTCACTAGCAGACACACACACAAACTCACACACACTAACAAACACACACACATTAACAGACACACACTCACAGGCAAACACACTCACACTAACAGACACACACACACTAACAGACACATACACACACTCACAGGCAAACACACACTCACTGACACACAGTCAGACACACACATACACACTAACAGACACACACTAACAGACACACACTCACTCACTAGCAGACACGAACACTCACACAGTCAGACACACACACTAACAAAACTCACACACATTAACAGACACACACTCACTGACACACACTCACTCACATTAACACATTTTTTTTTATTCTTCCCCCCAACCTCCTTACCTTTGGGAGTGCTGGGGTTCATTACCTCCCTGGTGGTCCAGTGGAGTCAGCGAGCTCCCTGCGTGCGCAGGGAGGCTGGGAGCCGGAAGATGACGTCAGGCCCCAGCCTCACTCTGCGGCGCGCGAGGGAGCTGAGCAGACCGCTCAAGGGAAGAGCTCCCTCGCCAGCCGCCCGCCCGGCATGCCTGTTAGCCGCGAGGCTAACAAGGCATTTGCCCTGGGCATTTGGGGGCGGGGTTTTTTGCCGCCCCCTGGAAAATGCCGCCCAAGGCAAATGCCTTGTTTGCCTCGCGGCTAATACGCCCCTGGCTATACTATCAAATTAAAAACCCATGTAACACAAATTCACATAACAGATTCCCATGTATGTGAGTGAGCATGTGTGTTTGTTTTTGTGTCTTTGTTTACTTTGTATTTGAATATTTGTGTGTTTGTTTATTTATGTTGAGGTCCTTTTAAGTGTGTATTTATATATTTTATTATGTCTTTGTGCATGTGCTTTTATGTATTTGATTAGCTATGTATGTTTGTAATGTGTGTTAATCTGCGAGTGATATTACTGTGACAGTTATATTAATAATTAGATAGTTTTGCAAGCAGGGGTGTACCTTTTGTTTTATTAGTTGCAGTGAGCAATATGGATTTTTTAACCCCTGAAGACAGTCAGTTGTTCAAGTTCTGATCAAAACAAAACCTATAATTTGAGCTATATGTCCGTTCAACCATAATTTACCTTGTTTATATTAAGTGTACGCACACTTATTGTACAGTTGTGCTCAAAATTTTAAAGGTAATATATGTACTATTTTTTTAAAGAACTGCAAATCTATTCACTTGTTGACTGTTTGGCTAGAAGGTGGTATATATTAAATAATAATTGAACTTGTCATATAATGTATAACATACTATAATCTTTCTAGATTTTTCCTGTTTGTATTGGTAACAAAAAATAAATACCGACAAATATTTTGTTAAAAAGATGGAAGCAAATTAATGAATAAATCCCAAGGCTGTCCCATTCAAAGTCAATTGACAGAAATGCACCAAAAGCAGAGGAGGCAATACTGACTTCTTTCCCAGCTATAGCATCATTATTTCCTGGACCACATTTCTGTAAAAATCAAGATCAAACTGACCTTTCAGCCTTAGCACCTTTAACAGTTATATGAATGCACATAGAAGCTAAACTAATAATAGAAGTAACAATGCTGTATCGTGTAGTTTTTGGAGTTAAAAAAGACAGCTGACTGTGGCTTTTAGAAGAACTTTCTCGTCCAGGAAAAAAATATTCAGCT